CCTGTCGGAGCGTCTTTGTCAAGTGCAGCATCGAATTCAAACTTGTCAACAGGAGATTTCAAGCTCACGATTTCTTCCTCTGATGCAGTGCTGCAATGGTATGGACAGACCTACTGGAAACTTTCAACTGATACAAAAGTTTTTAAGAATTCAAATAATATGGTGGAATACATGGCCGTAAACAATTCTGGGTTTTATCTATTTGGAGATGGTGGAACAGCTTTTCAACTGGGATTGCCACTGGCTAATTTTCGAATTGCCACGTTGGGTTCCTCTGGGTAGTTCACTATCAACAGCTTTTCTATCGCTTTCTTGACGCAGGAGTTTGTGGGGCCAGTTGATGGTTGTCAAACTCCCTTGGCTTGCGGAAGAGCAGGGTTATGCACTAAGAGCACTGATTCCTCTTCACCTGTTTGTTCTTGTCCCCCTAACTTCCGCGTAGGCTCAGGTACTTCTGGTGGTTGTGTGCTGAGCAATGGATCCCATTCCTTGTCACTTGCTTGCGAAAATTCTTCAGTTGTTTCGTTTTCTAATATAGGGTATGTTCAATACTTTGGCACTTTTTACTCGGATCCGGTTATGTATAAAGGGGATTTATCTTCCTGTCAAAAATTTTGTTCCAATAACTGTTCCTGCTTGGGAATTTTGTATAAAAACACATCTGGTTCTTGCTACACGATTGAGAATGAGTTGGGGTCCATTCAGGCAAGTGATGGAGATAACAGAGACATGTTGGGGTTTATTAAAATTAACGTTGTTGAATCTAAAACTGGTACTGACGATGATAGTGGTAATAAGCAAATTTCTCAAAATGGGGGATTTCCTGTGGCAGTAGCGGTGGTGTTACCTATTATTGGATTCATTATTTTGATGGCCATAATTTTCCTTGGGTGGAGAAGATTGATTCTTCTGTCAAAGATTAAAGAAGTGAAACTAGGGAAAAACTCACCTTCTTCAGGGGACTTGGATGCCTTCTACATTCCTGGATTACCTGCAAGGTTTGATTATGAAGAGCTTGAGGAAGCCACAGAAAACTTCAAGACTCTTATTGGGTCAGGTGGGTTTGGAACTGTGTACAAGGGTGTGCTTCCTGACAAATCTGCTGTAGCAGTAAAGAAAATAGTGAACATAGGTATTCAAGGGAAGAAATATTTCTGCACTGAGATCGCTGTCATTGGAAACATCCACCACGTGAACTTGGTCAAACTGAAAGGCTTTTGTGCTCAAGGGAGACACCGGTTGTTGGTTTATGAGTACATGAACCGTGGATCCCTAGACCGAAACCTCTTCGGTGGTGGACCCGTGTTAGAATGGCAAGAGAGGTTTGATGTGGCGCTTGGAACAGCGCGTGGACTTGCTTACCTTCACAGTGGCTGTGAGCAGAAGGTTATCCATTGTGATATCAAACCCGAGAACATTCTCTTGCAAGATCAGTTTCAGGCTAAGATATCTGATTTTGGACTCTCCAAACTCCTCAGCCCCGAACAGTCCGGTCTGTTCACAACAATGAGAGGCACACGTGGTTATCTTGCTCCAGAGTGGCTCACCAACTCTGCCATTACAGAGAAAACTGACGTGTATAGCTTTGGAATGGTGCTTCTTGAACTCGTCAGTGGAAGAAAGAACTGTTATTTCAGGTCAAGAAGCCATAGCATGGATGAAAGCAACAGTGGTGGAGGCCATTCCTCGACATCATCAACAACTGGGTTGGTTTATTTTCCTCTATTTGCATTGGAGATGCATGAACAGAAGAGTTACCTGGAGTTGGCTGATCCAAGACTAGAAGGACGTGTGACATATGAAGAACTGGAGAAAGTGATTCGCATTGCCTTATGTTGCGTTCATGAAGAACCTGTACTGAGGCCAAACATGGTGACTGTTGTTGGTATGTTGGAAGGTGGGACTCCATTGCCATATCCGAGGATAGAATCTTTGAACTTCCTGCGCTTTTATGGGCGAAGGTTTACTGAGGCTTCCACAATAGCGGAAGAAAATGAGTATGGTTCTTTGAT